ATTCTAAGATGCATGTAATTTGTTTAAAAATGACCATGGTGATGAAGCAGTGGGTTGTTTCCCTGTTAAATAAGGCAAAATAATAATAATAATATGATAATTATTATTTACATTTGATATTGTTTTAATGTTTTCAAAAATATAAATTTGTTTTCATCTAGTCTAAATTAATTATGTAAAGTAAAGAAAGGAACTATTATTCACTTTATATCTGCAGAGGTTCATAGAAAAGAATCGCCTTGCCTACACCCAGAAGCAAAAGTCACTCAACTCTAATTCGAATTCACCATTCTATTTATTATATTGCAAAATCTAATATACACTAATTTCTATGTATGTGATAATCATCCTGCCCAATTAAAATAATCCAACTGGGATAATATTTTGTCTCTAACAAGAGCAATAAAGATTGCTTTGGGAAGAAAATTATCATTTCCTTTCAAGCAATTTTCCTTAAAAAATCCTTAGAATGTAATTATGAAACCCAAATATCCATAATTCCTTTGGTGAATTATTTATGATTTATGTAAATTCTTCTTGAGCTTATTTAGAATCTTATCCTAAACTCCTTCTTAATGATATCCATGAAAGCACTGAACACTGTAATCTTTTATTTTCTCCATTTAATCCCAAGACCAGAGTTTTCATGCTGGAATTCTATGATTTGGAGATTACTTTCACATTTAACCCCACATTATATATTTTCATTCTTTTTTTAAATGCTAAATAATCAGGTTCTATTTTATTTGGACCAACTTTATTTGAGGTATGACTAGAGCCTGACTCCTAGTTCATTTTAAGTGCAAGAAAACAATTAAAACAATTAAAATTGAAAATTCTTGGGGATCCCTGGGTGGCTCACCACTTTGGCACCTGCCTTTGGCCCAGGGAGTGATCCTGGAGTCCCAGGATGGAGTCCCGCATCAGGCTCCCTGCATGGAGCCTGCTTCTCCCTCTGCCTGTGTCTCTGCCTCTCTCTCTCTCTCTCTCTCTCTCTCTCTTTGTGTCTCATGAATAAATAAATTCATAAAAAAATAAATAAATTTTTTCCTCTAAAAAAAAAGGATTGAAAATTCTTAAAATGTTCCTTGAGTAAAATACTAACTAGAATCCTTTTATTACTTATACTCACACAAAATCCAAGCAAATTTGTGAAAATGAAAGCATATTTGATTTCTCTAATTTAAAGGCTGAGATTAAAATATTTACCTTATTGTAGCTAATATTCAGAATGTTATTGCTACTAACTTTAACCCTTTTAATCTTCACAAAAAGCACAGATGTACTTTATTTTCAAGTTTTGCAGATAAAGAAAGCTTTAGTATATTTGTCTCTCTGTACAGCTAGTAAGTGGTAGAGCTGATATCTGAACACAGGCAAATCTGGATATTCTGTGTCTATTTTTTATTACTATGATCTACTACTGGCCTTCAGTGAAAACAAGATGACTCGTAAGTGTTTTTCTGCTAGTATTTGCAATAAGTATAGACCCAGTGGCTGAGACCTATTAGAACCTGGCTAAAGGACCCTCTATCTGACAAGTAACATGACTCAGATGCTCCTTCTGTAAATTTCTGGCAGATTGAGCTTTATTCCATTGGCATCCTCTAAGGACTTGACACTTTTGCCCCACTATCCATAAGTGTATCTTTTGTTCAAACTGTAGGCTCCTCCTGGCTTTGGATGGCCTGTCTTTTCTAAGCTGGACAAACAACTCAAAACACCAAAGTCAAGACCTCGCAGACCATTAAAAAATAAGTTGAAATAGTATCATTCAGGGGACCTCTGAATCATCTTTGAGGCCAACAGTAGGGATTTTTTTTTAATAAATATTCTCATCTTCTTTTGTGGACATTGTAAATTTCATAGGGAAGAATATCAGACTCCTGATGACAACTATAGAGAGAATTAGTATCTAAGTTGCAGCATCATGGCTTGTCATGGAAATGGCAGGGCTAGGTTTAATTCCTGGGAGAGAATCAACCCTTCAACTGAGATTGGCTTTTTGCCTTTAGTCTCTGTTAATACAGTTAGACTAACAACTTCAAGTTTTACCATCTAACTAATTACATAAATCGTTGGCTAAATGAAAAAATTGATCTAATTGGTTGATCAGTTAGTTAACCTTCTGCAAGTAGCATTTCAACAACAACAACAAAAAATTCTCTGTTTAAATTGACTTCTCTAAAGTTCATTCTGTGGTACTAGTGGCTTAAGCCAGAAAAGTCATCTCCTTTTTACTTTCCTAAAAGTAGACTATAAAAAGGAAATAAATTTTAAGTTTGTTTAAGAGAATAGATTAGTCACAATTCTAAGTGGTTAGCCACTTGGAAAACTGTAAGTTGTTCAGGCAGGAATGATATACTACTCTATCCAACCTCCTAACAGTATCTATAGTGAGCACAATAAATATGGGTTGAACTGAAGTGTTAGAGCACCAGTACAACAGCATTTTTACAGGGAAAGACTGCTGGAAAAATGTGTAGTCTTATTTTCCTAGAGGTCACATTGCCAACATTATTATCTGATGCTCAAGATTTCACTTTCACATAATTCTAATGCACAAAAGAACAAAAAGATAAATTGTAAGTATATATCTATATATTTATGCGTGTGTGTGCATGCGTGCGTGTGTGTATGCATGTGTGTGTGTTCTCTATAAGCCATAAAACATGAGATCAACATGCTATTGTACATTTCTACAATTTTCATCAGTTTTCCTTCAGCTGCTAATGTTGAGGAATCTGGAAATGCTGTGTGATCTCTGGAAATCTGTAGTATAAGAAAGAAAGAAGTAAAATAAGCCATGGGCATGTTTACAGAATAATGCCATATTTACAGAAATTGGCTAATACAGTAGTTTTCCATAGAGGAAGTGGAGTATTTCTGACCCTTCCTTAATTAGCAAGTGCCTTCCAGCAGGGTTTCTCAATCAAGTGACATTTTGGAGCAGATAATTCTTAGTTTAGATGGTTCACACTGTGCACATTGATGTTTAGCAATATTCCTGGCCTCCGTCTACTAGATGCCATTGGCATTCCTTCCTTTAGAGTTGAGACGACCAAAAGTGTCTTCAGATAATTTGAAGAATTCTCTAAGGGCAAAATCACTGGTTTAGAACCACTTAGCTATACATAGTAGATTAGGCAAAACCAAAGGGAATAGTTTATTTTGTTTTATGGTCATTCCCGTCTAGTTTCTTGACTCTGAAACATTAAGAATGTAAGGTAGATATAAACTTCATAATATGCCTGTGGAATCCAGATGTGCCCATGATATTGCAGAGCTACCAGGGACTCTCCATTGCTGCTTGATGCTACAAGATTTCAAAAAAAAATTTTTTGAAAAAAAAATATCATTATATTTACCATTATGCTTACCTAGAAATCTGAGCTATGGGTTTGTTACTGACTGTTCCCAACCTGGCTCAGACACACTATTTAAACAGAAAAATCAGCTGTTTTCCCAACCCTAGGAGAAGCCATCAGTCTTGCCAGCAAGTAATTTTCTAGAAATTACAAATAAGGCCACAAAGTTAATATCCCTAGTTATAAATTCTTTGTGGGAAAGTCAAAAGGAATTCCTTGGAGTGTACATGAACCTTTCTGATTGCTTTTATTTTGGGCCACAAGAGGTGTTCACTGTGAGGTTGTTCCCAGAAGATGGATTTGTAAACATACATGGTGCGAATGAATGTTTGTGCTTTTGTTATCTGACTATACATCCATGTCACAGTGAGTTTGCTTTGGAAACAGACTCTGACTCTGAGATTTTCATGCAGTGAGTTAGTTCATTAGGTAGTGCTGTCTGTGAGGGAAAAAGGAGGGAAGGTTGTGCAGGGGAAGAAGTTCTAGAGCTGGGATGACCTTACAGAATCATCCTGTATTAAAACAAGGGAGTTCTCTTGGATGTACCCCTATAAACCAGTCATTGAACTTGCTGCCCTGCAAAAGGGAATAGAGATTTAGGCACGGCAGGTCTCAGTTGAGAACAATTCCTGGAGAGGGGTTGGATTGAGAGCTTCAGCCTTCAGTGCTCCTGACAGCTAACTGAGCATCTCAGTTCTCACTCGGTGTCTACTAAACTTACCTATTGATAGATAGAGAAAATACTACATGACTAATTCTATAAATTTGTGGAAGTGCTGAGATGCTCCTCTAAGTTAATTCTGGGTTCAGCAATTGGTCTGGGAAATTTATAAGAGTTTGTATATTTTACACAAAAGATAGTTTTCAGGACACTTGGAATTAGTGTTTCCTTTCCTCTAATCCTTTATCAATACCTGGGAATAGATCTAGGGTTCCTGGAGTTTCTCTGAAATTCAGAGAAAAAGGCTGGAATAGTCATCACAAGGATGTAAGATCTATCATCACAATAAAACAACAGTCTTCTCATTACAGATTATAGCAGTGGTCTCAGAAGTGCACATGAATGACCGAGAAATGGTCATTCACAGAAAACTAAATCAGATTTTCCCAACCGACATAAGTAATAACTACATAAATATTTTTTCTTCCTGCAGCAAAAATGATGTCACGTAAAGACAGAAATAAAAAATATTTTTTAAAAAATCAAAATTATGGATTACAACTTAATTTTTTTCTATCAGCACATAAATTCAGAATAAGCACATGCAATGTCTCACACAGGAAGAACATTAACTATGTGTTCTTCTTTTTTAGTGTGTGATTTCTAGAATTAGTTTTCCATGAGATTTTAGAGACTGAGTAAAAATCGCAAACAGTAATGAAAACTACCTCTTAAAAATCATATTTAAAATTTTTTAAAGCCTCATTAAGATATTTTTCACATACAAAACTGTATATATTTAAGGTGTACAACATAGTGTTATATGTATGCATTATAAATCACTACAATTTAGCTAATTAACATACCCATCATTTCTATATAGTTACCATTGCGTGCAAGCATGTGTGGTGGAAGATTAATTTAGGTTCTATCCTCAGCAAATTTCAAGTAACAATGTTAACTATTGCCACAAAAATATTCAATGCTTCAGGAATTTGTGTGTCAACATTGAGCAGGGGTCATGCTAATCTCTGAACTGTGTCGATTTTAGTATACATGCTGCCAAAGTGAGCACAAAAAAAATCTTATTTTTAAATAAGATTTTTAATCTTCATAGTCTGATTAAGATAATTTATGCTTATCACCATTTTAGCTTGTTTCACTGATTATAATCATTTTGAATATCATAATAACCTCCACATTTTTTAATTCTAAAATACATCATCTCTTTTAGATGGCATTTCTTTTCCTAAGTCCTTGTTTTGCTGATAGTGAATTGCAAGTACCATCTCACACAAAAGAAAGGAAATCAAAAAATAAGGATATGGATGTGCCCTTGGGAGGGACCAATGAAAATCTTGGTTGTTTAAAACTCCCATTTCTTCAACTCTACCAAGAAATCTGGGAAGAAAAATATATAATATTAGCCCTTAGCATGCTTCTTATTCCCTTTATCTATCTATTCCTCCCCTTGAGTTCTTGCTGTCTCTCTCTGTCTACCCATCCATCCATCCACCTAACTGAGCATCTGATTAAAAAGTAATACTTTTTAAATCTCCCCTAACCTACCTATTTGTTCTCCTCTGGTCATTCTCAAAACTTCTGTATGAGCAGATACACATAACATAATTTTCTAAGTTAAATTCTCCATAAGTTTCTAAGTTAAAACTGTGGACAATGATAATCAGAAAATAAAAGTATATCTTCCCTGCATTATTCCTCTCTGAGCAAAATGATGCAATGTATGGAGGAAGAGGGGATCCCTGGGTGGCTAAGCGGTTTAGCGCCTGCCTTTGGCCCAGGGCGTGATCCTGGAGACCCAGGATCGAATCCCACATCGGGCTCCCGGTGCATGGAGCCTGCTTCTCCCTCTGCCTATGTCTCTGCCCCCCCCCCTCTCTCTCTCTCTCTGTGACTATAATAAATAAATTTAAAAAAATTTAAAAAAATGTATGGAGGAAGAATAGAAATACTTGAGTTCTAAAGGGAAATGCAAATTATGAGAGCAGCATTGATACATGTATAAATCATTCCAATTTTTCTTCTAAGTGTACAAGTGGACCCTCTACTGTAGACAGGAGCAGAGTGCTATAAACAGAGAAGTCCTCTGCCCTTGAGCTACCCCAAGCTATCTATGTAAGCAATAGAGAGGATTAATTTAAGTAAATAAAGATTTTATTAATTCCCCTTCAGCTAGTTTAACATTGAAAGCATAGATGTTTGTTTCTCCCCAACCTAGGGAGTGATCTGGCTTCCCATCTCTCACTGGGAACACCCTCTCCTCCCCTCTGTAGTCGTCTTCAGTGCAGTAAATCATCTCTTTACTATTCTCTTTCTTTATCCACCACTTCGAAATTAAGTGTTGGCCGTGTGACTTTAGTCAATTTAAGGAAAAATGACATGTGTCTCCTCCAGTAGAAACTTTGAGAGCTAGGTGTATAGTTTGCCATAAACTCTTTCCCATGTCAGGAGACCAATAATTTTCCAGAGAGTGAGGAAGACAGGAAGCACCATGCCTGGATGGATGGAGTATGAGCAACACTTAAACCTTTGTTATTTTAATACACTAAAATAGTTTAGCAACTTAATGCAGAAGGGGTCAGATTTCAAGAGAGGATGAGGAATAGGGAACACTGTGTGTGCAAGGGCCTACTGACTTCCCTTTACACAAGAGGTAACTCTTGTTAGTTTTATGTATGGGAGGAGGGGGCAATTGGCTGAGCTTACTGATTCTATATCCTTATGAAATTCCTCTAGTATTCCATCCAGGATGAACATCTCTCCCTACACAAATAATCTAAGTTTATGGTTATTGAAAACTCTGGCAAACATATCCCAAGGCGACCCAAATGATTCTTACTTCTGTGTTCACACTTTTATGTAGTCTCCTGTTGAGTGGACAAGGGACTTAAAACCATATTCTAAGAACAGTATGTGGCAAAGGAGAGAAGATATCATTCTATTAATATTAGTTTATATACTATAGGACTCCATTTTAGCAAACTGGTGCTAGATACTTTCCTTGGAGGGTTGAAGTAAGCAGTCAAATTGAAGAAGTCATGTGATAAGGAACTGTGGGCTGCCTCTAGAACCTGAAGGTAGACTCCAGCTGACAGCCAAGAAGGGGCTGAAGCTTTCAGTCCTATTAATTGCAACTGAATAGATTTTGCCAAAAACTTAAGTGAGCTTAGAAGTAGATTCTTCTCCAGTCAAGTGTCCAGACATCAATGCAATCTGATTGGCCCCATGATGGGAGCCTTGTGAGACTCTTAGTGGAGGCTACAGTGAACTGTGCCCGGGCTCTTAATCCATGAGAAATATGGGATAAATAAATCTATACTGTTACAAACTATTTAGTTTGTGGTAGTCATAGGCACACACAAACTAATACAGGATCAATCTTGAGTCTATGAGATATTGTGTCTATGGCTTATCTCATTTGTCCATTTCTGTTGCTTCCTTACCATGAAAGGTTAAATTCTTTTCTCAAGTTGTTATAATACACTACAGTTGGAACCGCAGATGGTTGGCCATGGATAAAAGAGGACATTCTAGTTGGCCTATGGCTTGCTTTCCTCCAAAATGCCTACAATGAAAACATTCGCAATGAGGATCTAAAAAATTAACCAAGATGCTTCCGATTAATATGAATTTTATTTCATGGGCAAAAGTATCCGTGTTTCTTTTCTTAGATTAATATGAATTCTTTTCTTCTTTACCTAGTCTAAAGTTATAAAGAGCGATAAATAGGAGGTGAGTGAGAGATGAGTTACTGTAATGACAATGAGTATATAGGTAAATCCAGGTAATTGAGGATCCCAAGGGAATGAAATAGGGTATAATAATAATACCCTATTTATTTATTTATTTTTAATAGAGCTATAACGAGTATAGAAAATATGGATAGCAATTACATTGATTATGCCAGGGGAAAGGACTTCTCTACATTTAAAATCACTGGGCGGGGACTATTATAAGGAATGGTGCATTAGGTAACTTCAGGAGAGAGTTCAATTCACAGTTCAACAAATAATTATTTCATTACTGGCTACCAGGCACTGTGAGTTTCTTGTCCTTGGTGGTAACCAAAGCAGAAGTAGAAATATGTTAGGGAACATGCAAGGTTCTGTCCCACACCTTGCTCCTGTATTTTTTTAAGGATAAAATAAAATCTCTTCATATATTTATACATGTGCTAATATTGACTAATAATCCATACAATTAATTCCAACCAGTGGTTCTCATCCCTGGCTGAATATTAGAATCTCCTAGGGAGCTTTTGAAAACTGCCATTCCAGAATGCCATCCAGACCAATTCAATCAGAATCTCTGGGATTGCATCGTCAGCAGTGATACTTTTTAAATCTCCCCAGAGGGTGATAATGTGCAGCCAGGGTTGAGAAATTCTGCTTTAAACTATTGATAGAGACTGCTATACAGGGGCTTACTTTGTATTTATAGATTTTGCCAATATGTTTTCACATTGTTTATTAATTACCCTACATACATGTACTTCCTGATGAAAACTCAGGTCTACGCATTTCAAAAATTCAGACCTTAATTTGAAACCAGTAATAAATCCTGATTTAAGCATTTGGGCATCAGATTTATTTTTGCCATTTCTCACATTGTTTTCATTTTTTTACAAACTTACCTTATTATAAATCTAATTTTTCTTGGATATGAGGCAACTTTGCACCATCAAATCTAATTATTATAAATTAAGGCAGTTAATGTGCATCAGGACCTATGTTATTTTATCTCACCATCATTCCTCAATGCCACAAAACAGGTGTAAAAGCAGATATATCTAAGAAGATAATTTTCCATCATGCTACAAAGTATTAGGCTCTCATGTAATATCTTTTATATAATATTTTTAATTATAACTATTTTGTTTACTGTTATAAAGTCAATATTGTATATCATGTTTGATTTCAACATTTCTGCCGAATCTTTAATCCATGAGCTAAACTGCTGACCAACAATTTCAACTGCCTGCTGTTAGGCAATGATATCAAAATATTAAAATTATCAACCAACTTACCTCTATCAAATTAAAATCTTTTGCTTATTTTCAACTCAGAGAAATCGTTTCTACTATTTTGTCTTCTTGGTTCGCCTATGCTCTCTGCTATCCTTATGGAATCTTTTACCACACAGATATCATAGCTTCCCAATTTTGCTTTATATTTTTTTATTTTATTATTTCTCTTAGCATTTATTTTTTGACTTTTGTAAAAAGATTTTATACATTTTGAAAAGATGTGTTTGACAGTTGGAGATGTATTTTTCTCAGCAATCTATCAATTCCCTTTTCAAACTCACTAAGCCAATCTTGTGTCTCTCTTTTTAAAGGCATGGTGCTCTCAGGAAAAAAAAATTAATCTCCAAGTATTCTGGTTTGATTTATACATAAAGGAGATTTTTCTTATAATTTGATAATTGTCTATGGAATCAATATCATCCAGATTAGAATCTTGTTAAGGTTGTTATTCATTATACTTTTTAAAAGCTTTTCTTCTATTAACCAATTCATTGAGATTTGTTCTACAATTTTTTCATTGTGCTGTTTCCTTCAAAAGCTTTGTGAGTCTGCTTAATATGTGTAGATTTTTTTTCATATTCCCTGGTTTGGGGCAGGGAATCAGAGTAGTTATAGATAAATGGAATATATGTTGACACCCAAATGAAATCATTGTATGCTGCTAGTAAACAGAACTCCCCATTACAAGAGCATGTAACTAACAGTAATGTATTGGTGGTGGGGATGTGAGATTGAAGAGGCAGGATGTATGGGGTCGCGTGATTGAGGATTGTCAGAATCCTTAAATTTCCAGGTTCATATAATCAGGGTACTTCTCTCTTTCTAGATTCCAGGTATCTGTTTTAGCAGCTACCTATCGTAGCCCACTTCATTATTCAGAGGGAATATACCCAGGTTAATCATTTCTCCATTTTCATTCCTCCCCTCATTGTAAGTGAAGGTGCAGAGGAAGACTACTCTGCTCCTAGTCCTTTAGTCATATGCTTGGAAATTAGCTCCAGTGTTTCAGCCAAGAGTAACCAGTCACC